ATTGCAATGCTAAGAGCTGCAATTTGTAATACTATCATTTAAGGATTGTAAATTGGTCTTTTTGCAAACTACTGTGAATCACTTTGGACTTTTTGGATTACACGTATATAATTTTGCATATGTATATTTGATTTGCACTTCATGCACTTCTAGCACAAATATTTCTTGTTACACTTTTCTTACTAGTAGATAGAAGCTGGGAGTTGTGGCAGTGGATAACACGCTACTTTCTTAAAATACAGTACAGAGCTTGTTTAGGTTTATTTGCATTATTTTAGCAGCTAGAGAAAAATGACAGATCAACAACCCATATGTTCAATAATAAAGGCTGGAAAGATCCCAGGAGACACATAAGCCTGGAAGTATTTGACCTGGTGTCAACATTTTTTTGCACTTTTTATCACACATGGACGCTCGTATTTCTTCCTTAATATTGCTTGAGTAAAGATAGACTGCACTGCATATTAATAGACAGAAAAATAATACAACACATCTACCTAACTTTAACAATCCTGACAATGCCTGGCGGTTGCCACTCTGAAAGTAGAGCACTACAGGCACTCAAAGCCCACTTAGCATCTCTGTACATTCATCGTGCCAGTTTGTCAGGTCTGCAGGGCACGTGGCCCACACATTTAACAGAGCAGCCAAAACGATTCTGTGCGCTATTCCAACTTTTTAGGCAGATGGAAAGTTGTGAGCAAAATAAAATGGGAAAAATGATTTATATTCATTAACAACAGAACTTAATGCAAAACAAAATATACAATACAGTAAAACATCCAAACACTTCACAAATCAGTATGCAAATTATGTAATTAAAAAGTCAAAAGGAGGAAAAAAAGCCTATTGCTTTTGCAAGTAAAGAGAATGACACTTAATAATTACAATGGATCTTTCTACAGACACCAGCATATGATACATGAATATTCACAGGTTTCAAAATGATTTATGTCCTCAAAATATATTTGATTGAGGGATTCTACCTGTGTTTAGACATGTGCGCCATGCTGCATCATATTTAAAATTAACCTAAAGACGTCCGGTCCTATCTGTGAATGTCTGTTCAATTTCACTTTAGGTAAAATGTTTTGTGCAGAGATCAAGCTTATTTGCTTTGGAAGGAGTGCGGAAGGGATAGAGCTTCTGTAGATTTTCATTTCTGGTGGGGTCATTCTGGGGAGGATATCCCCTACTTTCCGTCCCAGCCACAGAAGTCATTGAGAAACTACGTGAGGTAAGATCTTTCCAAAGGATATATATTATATATAA